GTAAAAAAAGGAAAACAATTGCTGACGCGTAATGCACTTTGAACGGGCAGGGCTGCATGATTGGGATGACTTATTCAATAAACTGCAATTCGGTTTTCGAATCGCAACTTCCTGATAAGCTCTCCCCCTAAATACATGGAGACGTAGATTAACGCACGTTTTGGTTAAAGAATTCAGTCTGAATTTTTAGTGACTTTACTATATTGAAATGAGAGAAGAGAAGAATTCATTTGCAGAGAAGAAATCATTTGTAATCATTTTCTATTATCATCCATTATAGTTTTATCATTTTTTTTTTTTTTTTTAAATGTAAACAAGTGCTAAATGTATTATATGTATGTATAAGGATTCGAATTTTATTGCGAAAATTGCAAATTTAAAAAGAGAAAACAGTCTTTTGAAGCATCAAATTCACACACTATAAATCTTATTAGTTGTAGTGACTTAAGCAAGGATTATGACTTTGTCTAAAGCCCTTCGTCCGAAAGTTCGGATTTATTTTTCTGTTGCACAGACAGCAAAGTTTGCTGTCAAGTGATTTCTCTCTGTTAAACAAAAAAAATAGAAAGACCAACGTGGTCCACAACCGCCGATGAAATACCCTACACGAATCAATCATGAACTTAAAAAACCCATATTCCGGGAATTTAAAAAGCATATATGCACAATCTTGATAAGCAGGGGTAACGACACCCAACTCTTTCACGTTTTCTATAGTTCTTGTAATGCAATATCGATCGATTTACGTTTTCTATAGTTCTTGTATTAATCACTTAAGATTTGTTTACTTATGTCATGTTATTTTATGTTATCAATGTAACGGATTCTTTCAGTGCACAGAGCAGTTAATTATAAAATGATAAAATTAAAATTTTTGCATTTTACTTATTTAATTACATTATTTAATTCTTTATATTTAAGAAAAAAACCTGCGAAAAAAAATTAAAATGTACGTATAAATGTAAACTTTATGAATGAAAGCAAACTTTATTAAGACTTTCATTTAACAATTATAAAAGCCATAATCCCTTGCTTGATCCTTTTCTGCTTCCAAACTCTTTTTAATACGCAAAAGTTGCTTCTACTTCTCACAAATTCAAAAGCAGAAAAAAATTTTTTCATTAAAAAGTTAAAGCTTGTTTTATGTTATTATTTTGCTCGTAAGTTACGAAAAGTGTGTAGAAATGAAAAATAAAGAAAAAAATCGATATTTTTCTCGTGCTTATTATTTTTACTTGAAAGCCTTTTGCTGCATAGCATCCAATGTTTTCTCACTTTACTTTAATTCTTTTTTTCTCTTATTTTTATTTTTATTTTTATTTATTTTTTTTTTTTTTTGCTGTAAGCACTTAAAGCGTATTAAATGTTAATCAAGTGTATTTTTAATGCGGAAATAAATAAACTCGAAATTTCTCCACACTTCATAATGAGTTTCATAAAAAATATTAGTTGTAGAAATAATTTTTCATCGGTTTTTTATGGAAAACACTGGAAACCGCTGATTTCGAGAGAATATAAAAAACTATCCGTCCTAAGCATTATAATTTAACGACCTTTTGACAAATTGTAAATTTCGTATAGGAAAGACAACTGGTCTTTTCAAGCTATCCGCAAAAAAAAGACGGCAGACGTACAGTTTGAACATAAAAATCGCACTCTAAGAAATAAGAGTTCATTGAGTCAAACTAAGCGCTCAGCAAACAGACTAACGGCTGATGCACATAACGTAGGGATTAGCATAATCCAATTCAATACTATGAACAACTCCTAGGAGAATTTTGACAAATGAGTCTGAAAAATCACAATATTATGTCTTTTGGTATATTGTGGCTGTCTTTCGGTTCAGTTACATCAATTTTGGTTGTTAGTATTCCTTAATGATAATTCCGTTTGACTGAATCAATCCACAATACATTATACTTAGTTAGGGGGCATGAACATTGAACTTTATTGCTAAAGTTCTTGGCATTTCTAGCGTGCATCGTGGCTACTTCTCATACATATTTCGCAATACAACGAGTATTTACAATCTGTCATTATATTGGAATTCAGCAACAAAGAAGTTAACGCGTGCAACGTTTAGCTGTTTTCGCCCAAAACCCGATCTACTCAAAACTATCGAAAGCTATTTGCGTACTTTTAAGATAGCTAATTTTTAGTCGGGCATAAGGCTTAAAGACATTGCTTTCACATGGAGAAGTCACAATATGAAAAATACTTATAGACAAAGTGAAGTCATCTCTTATGAAAATCGTTCTAATGTTCTAAAAGTTGATGACTATATCGCTTGTCTGGGAGACACCGTCAGAGTATTATTTGCTATGGTGATACAGCTTCCTTTGCAAATTAAAGGGTTCGTAGCACATCCGTTGCTTTTCAACAATCCTCCAAACGTAATCTCCGAAAGCTCCATCCCTTGCTTATTAGTTTTAACCTTCAATTTTGCCTTTGTCCAAAGTTCTTCTTATTAATATTCATGGCAATCTTGACGTTTTATTAACAATCGTTACATGGTAATCCATTTCAGCATATTTTTAAAATTAGGAATAAAATAACGGTAAATATTATAAACGAATTTAGTTCATTTCTAAAGTCATCACTAGTAATTAAATTATGAATTATTATTACCATTATGATTAATTTAGCAAGAACAATAAATTCAAAGTCTACTGTCTACAGACTTAAAGCACCAGCATGTAAAGATATCGGCTTACTGCGTTTGAGTTTTGAACCCACGACAATTGAGTGGTTAGCTGAAATCCTTTGCCTACTCGGCCACTTAGGCGGATAAAAAAATTATGAATTAATTTACGAAGTTTAAGATTTTTAGCTCACTTCCGAAGAACTTGCAAATGTTACTAAAAAAACAGCTTTAGCGAGGCCTATGAAAAACTAAATTAAATTAACGAAACATTCCTAAATATGTAAAAATCGCTTCAGGGCGAAAATAAACTATGAAAAATGGTTTCACGAAGATCAGTTTTTGTTTCCCTTGGTTAATTGTGAGAGCGACTTAAATGGTTTGCATCTTCTGCATTTTTTTGATCAGAAGGACTTGAAATATGACCACAATTGCCACAGTCAATTTCTGAACCGATCAAAATTTGCCTGCCCGCCCTTACACTTGGCTTGCTCTCTTGTGCTTCGCCTACAGGCCGCAATTTGTGAGATAGTCTAATGAAATATAGTACGTCGACGCGTTTTAGCCCAAGGATGAACGCTATTGAAAATGGTTTGGATGGGACCACTTTTTTCGACCATTTTCCATTTAGCACCTTATTTTCAAAAGTCGATATATATATATAATTACAGAGTGGTGTTGGATATTTAATGGTGGATCATGCATTCTATTTTGTCTTAATAGAAAAGTAAAAATTACGAAATCAGTTCTAATTCTTTGGTGAAAGAAATATTACATATCTGGTGAAACACAGCTATATTCTCGAAAGACAAATTTTCTAAAAAATATCGTTTACCCGAGGTATTCCAAAAAAGTGTCTACGATTCCTTAATATTCACAACTTAATCCCTAAAAAAAGTTTTCCAATTCGCATCGCGAACGGCTTCGTTAAAAAAAAAAATAAAATAAAATGGCAATACTGCTCACCTAACTCATCAATCTCTCCTTGGCTGAGATAAAGAAATTCTAATCGGGATACAAGTTGTGACCCATTGTTAGCAAAACTACTTACAGGCAAATGACACGTTTTTTAGACTAAGTTAGCCTGCTTTTATGTGGCCTACTGTCCTATCTCGCTTAATCCGTACACTAAATGTGCCTTGAGTATGTGCGAATCCAAAAACCGATCTGATGTAGATTTATTATAACTTTTTAGACTTGAACATATTTTATTAAAAATTAATTTTTTTTTCCTTCTACTGTACGCGAAAGGCGCGGTCCTAACATACTTTATCATGTATTCAGCTTCAATTGCTATATTCGTGCAAGTTGTTTATTTTCATTTATATATATGTGATAACGAATTTCTCAAGCATGCCTTTAAATGTTCTTTTTTGAGTTTTTGCTCTCTGCGGGAGGATGCAAAATAGTTAGTCCAGCTTGCAAGTAAAGCTCAACATATAAGTCGAAATTGCACATAGACAATTTACATAACCAATATTCAAGTATTCAAGGATAAAATTTTTTTTCATTTTTGTCAACTATTATCATTTTTATTAAAATACAAGACCATCAAAACCTAAACCTTATTGATTCTAATAAGAGCGAATGAAAAATTTCTCTTTATTTATTTTTGTTAATACTGTATTTCCTTTATAAATTATCGACTATACTTAAGCCGCAAATAGCATTTATTGGACGAAAAAAAGGCGGAATTTTTAAAATTTATTGGTTATCGTGGAATAAGCATAAAATACATTTGCAATAACGTATCGTATAAGTTCTTATTGTATTTTATACAAGACCTTCACAAATTGCAAACCAAATAGCAACAAAAATTTTGCAAATTGTTTTGGTTTTTAACCCAATTTCCCATTAATTCTGGTCTAACATATTAAAAAAATCGTTGTATAATCCCGAGATATATTAGATAAAAGTTCTCGTTAACTTATACACATACTAAGCATACTTAAGCATACTTTTAGGTTGATAAAGTGAATTTCAATATATTTATTTCAATATATTTATTAGAATCTAGTTTTAATATTTACATTGAGAGAATGAAGACCAACCATATTTTCAGATTGAATTAAAAAAAACAAAAAATGCAATATGCGTAACTTTTTTTCGCTTTATATTGTTCATAACAAACACAGTCATTGAAATTGAATTGAAATGAAATTATTTTTCATCTTAAGTCTTAACTTTAAATATATTTATGTATATATATATATATATATATGTATGTGTATATGTATATATATATATATATAATTAATATGTATTATATATATATATATATATTATATATATTGTATATATATATAAATATATGAAACCGATATGAGCCATATACATAAATACATACAAATATACACACCTTTAATAATTCAATTTAAAATATATCCTTAAGTGTTTGAAAAGAATATATATTTAATGGTTATTCTTTTCCGCTGCCAGAGAGGTGCACTTGTACATCGGATATGAATTGGAATTTTTTTAAATCTTTTATCAAAAAAATACAATAAATAAATAAATAAACAACACCTTTAATTAGTATTATAGAAAATGTTACGAGTACTTGCAGATAATTAGTAAGTGGCACAGTAATTTTTATTAAGTAAAGTATTTAACTAACACCTTTTTTCCGTTTTTTTTTTTTTAGGAAAAAAATTGAGAAGATTTTTAATTCGCACTTTTGTCTTTGGCTTTCTTTACGTCTAAAAAAATTTATTTTTAACACATAAGTGGAATAAATGGAACAATTTTCCGGAGATATTTAATATTGCACAAAGCATAAAGGGAAAGAAGATTCTTTAAAAAAAAACTTTTTACCACCGTTTAGACGCGTCTATCAAAGAAATTAATAAACTTAACACGTCGCACGTTCAAGATGAACTGAATCTAAAATACCATGGCTGAACGTAAACGACTGAGTATAAAAAAAGGAAAACTAAAAAAATATATGAAAAAAATTATGGATAGAAAAAAAAAAAAAAAACTTTCTTCCGGTCTGGTAGAGAACTTCAAATAAAAAGCTCATCATTAAGTAGAGGGTGGTTCGAGCAAAAGCTCTTTCTCATTGTTATGCGTAGAGAGATAGAAAGAAAGACAGGTGGTGACAGAGAGAGAGAGAAAGAGAAAAAGAGAGCGAATGAGAGAGATGGATAAAGGCGGAGAGAAAGAAACAGAAAGAAAAAAAGAGTAAGAGAATATAATTGTGATGAAAAACTAAAGTGAGAGAGAGTGGCCATTTTCTATATTCAAATATAAATCTGTTAATTTTGTTATGGGTTTAGTTACTTTTCTTTCAAAAATTTATTTGCCTCGATAAATTCTAATTCGAGTCGATAAATAACGTCGTCAAAGAACTGTACAGAAAAATTGATGGATCATTACAAAGTTGATATACGATCTCCTAATGCCGAGCGAATTAAAGAGTCGATTAAAGTCTTCTTTTGACCGAAAACACTGGCAATTGGTCGAATAATATTTCGTAAAAAGTTTGTATAAATCATTTACAGCCTGTTCCTCATGCAGCCATATTTTTTTGCGGGTTTACGTATATCTCAACACTACACTTCTTTATTTTTTAATCAATTAGACATTATCATATCTATAGAGATATTAAAACTCTAATCGTATTGGACTGCGATATTAATGGTAGGACACAATTTTGGGATCACTCTAGGTAGCCAGGTAGCTTGCATCCGCATTCACTCTCATTAACAGTGGACATCATTTGGCTAAAAAATAATATGCTGTAAATGCAACCTGGAAAGTTATTTTTTATTTTCACACATTATGCTACCTAAATCGAGACATTGAATCAACACTGAATCCATATATCTCCAACGGGTGTTAGGTAGTAATTACTTCGATACAGAGTGCATCGAATTCATTACTACAATTACATGGATATCTCTACGTAACGGATAGAAATACAATTCGTAAACCTCATAAGACATACTCCTAAACGCCACGGTAACAGACTCCCTTGAGCACGTATGTTTATCAAAGGCAAATTTGATTTCTTTTTTATCAGTTTTGTGAGAGTATATTTAAAAACTGTGCTATATGTCGCCGCATAATTAGCAAGGAACCAAGGAAAATATTACACAATATGTTCAATCTCATAAATACTATAAAAGCAGTATATATAGGGTGTCATAGTCTCATTTTAACTGTATTAATGTCGTTTAACTAAAATATAAGATGCAATTAAAGACCACCGTCGGCTGTCTAACACCACGGTTTTTTAGAATATCTTGCAAAAGCTTTCACTCAATTGTTGATGTTGTGCTTGTTTTTGCTTTGCAAATGCTTTTGTTCTTAAATAATCACTTCATTTTCTGCGTGAGAACAGTTTCTAAAAGGTATCACGAAGATTTGGAGGACACTTATCCATTTATACGCATATAGATACATAAATATATGTATATATACATACACATAATAACATACATACATGCACATATATATATATATCGGTTATATATCGTTCGATATATATATATATCGTTTGTATCGTGACTTGTATCGCTCTTATATAATTATTTCTTAGGTGGACCTTTCAATATGGAATTCTTAAAAAAAAAAGTTTTTTCCTTACATACATAACCTAATAGTTTGATCGCGATTGCAATCTAAAAAAATATACGAAATTCATTTTTAAATAGATGTTTCCATAGTGTAGTTATTTTCTTAATAGAGAAATTGATATAATTTGTAAGGTTTTTTTTTTTCAGAAAATAAGCTAATTATTTGTTATCTATTTGCGTCGTTCATCTCAGCAAATTTGCATTGGGTACCTATATAATATACTGTGTCATCGTTCGAAAGCATCCATACGCTCGGTTATCTGTTTGAATTATTTATGGAAATAACTAGGCTTTTGTATTTATTGTTGATAATTTGCATTGATAAAGGTTTCTTTCGCTTTAATAATATATAAATAAATGTATAAATCTTTTTGCAACATGTATTGATTACCATAAGTTGTACTGTAATGTGTGTTGTAATTTAATATATATATGTATGTCGGTATAATATTTTATATATACAATTATATATACTATCTATATATATATATATATATATTTCAGTGCTTATTTTGAATAAAATTTATTATTAGATTTTACAGGGAAATTTTTATTTTCGTACTTCATTGCTCGTACTTTTACTCTCTTTATCTCTCTCTCTCTCTCTCTCTCTCTTTCTCTCTCTCTCTTTCTATGTTTCTCTATCTTTCTTTCTTTCTCTCTTTCCTATCCCTTTTCCTTTTTCCGCGTTCCAGACCTTATGTATAAATCTGCAGCATGTGTATCTTTGTAATATTTTATGATTACATATCATTAGGTTTGTTAATTTTTAGAAAAGCTGTTGCCTATTGTTTGTCAAGGCTTTTAATTAAAATTCTCAATATTGTAAATTCTGAAAAAACTGCCAACACGGCACTTTTGTTTCCATAATATATTTCACTGAATTCATTGTTTATTACGTTTAACATTTGATAATTAATACAAATCAATAACGATTCCATAACGCAAACAGGTGTTCTTTTTAAGTTGCTTGAAGTGTATGAGCAAAATACACTAAAAATAATTGCAAGCGTTCACCTCCCGAGAATTCGGATCAATACAATCGATGTCACATACTTTCGCAATATTTCATAAATTTCATATTACTTTAAGATCTATTATCGCAGACGCACTCTGAAGCTTTAAAGGTTGGACACCAAGTAGACACAAATAAAAATATTATAATCGAGCAATTCCCACCATTGACACATCGCTACGTCTAATACAATAATTCGTTTACACTATTAAGTTTACCTTGTTTCTCTCTAGAGGTAAAGTTTCCATGAAACCGATTATATGGAAACGGACCCAAAGCATGAACGTAGCCTAAATTTAGTAAATTTAATTTTCACAAATTAGACTTTGCTGTCATATAAAGGCTGACACTTCATGAATACTCTTATATGAGGTGGTGCGCAAAAAATATGGTTACTTGATCCAAAGTAGATTTAGTTAAGTTTTATATCAAATTATAAGGCGATAAAAATTGCGCATTTTTGCCATATAAAGGCTTTTTTTTCATTGAATTTTTTATATGAAGTGGGATCCAAAAAGTTAACATACATTTCGGTAAGGTTAATTTGTTTTCCAAAATTATTTGAAATTTTCTATTCAAATTTTTCACACCAGTTTAATAAATCAAAATTTTATTGCTCAGCAAAATTTTATTGAGAAATTTTTATAATTGGAGTTTTAAATGCGGATTGGATGCGTAAATGTTCGGATCTAATCAACATTCTTTAAGTGTAATAAATGGGCGAAAACACGTCAGTGTGCCAAAATCGGCCAAATTATTTTAAGAAATTTCGACCGATACTGTGATCAAAATATGCATGGGCAAACATCGGGCAAACGGACAGACAAATAAACTTAATATATATGATAAGACGAAGGCTTATCTGAAGTCCTTCTTTGTATTACATGCAACCTGACAAACTTAATGTACCCTATAACTCAAGCGGTATAGGCTATAATTCGAAATTTCCGTATAAAAAATACTTATTGAAAGATTCCTATACGGAAGCGAGTCTAAGTACCGTACTCACCTTGTCTCAATTTTCCACATTATATCTATATGCCAAGTCGTTATTTTGTTTGAAATTTCATTTTTATACTTATATATAAAAATAATAATTATAAAAGAGAAATAAGTAAAAAAACAATTTATTATCATAAATTTTATGTGGCTGAGTAGGCAAAGACTCTCGAGTAACAACTCAATGGTCTCAACAGCGATAGTCATTTCAATAAAGCAGATAGTCGTAGATACGAGTGCTTTAAGACTTATGTTTTACAATTTATTTCTCTTTCTAAATTAATTATAATAATAATAATAATAATAATAATGTTTTCGGCAAAAATAAAACTATATTTTTTAAAAAGGGAAATCTAATGTAAATACTCTTCAAATAGATCTCTGTACGAAGAAAACCCACTTTATAAAATAAATCTTGATATAGGGAGAGTTCGTCAATACAGTTCGATTGCATCTGTTTTCATTAGCGTTAACTGGGTTATCGTTGAAATCTGTCCGTGTTTATTGAATTTCATTAAAACACTTCAAAGAGTACGACTCATTATATATTTATTTTGTACCATAACCGTGTAATACGGCAACGATCAGAAATAAACGGAGTCACAACCTAAGTGATGCATGTCGAATCAGCAAGCGATACGCTTTTAACGGCTAAGCAGTTAGTGTAGTTACGGCTAAATATGATTTACTTTGCTGAGGTTTGAATCCGTGAACGTTGACTTATTTACCACGACTCTTGTCTACTCAGCTACTTATGCGTGAAAACCAAAATACATGAAGAGACAGTGAGACGGACAGACAAACTGAATAGATTCTCAATCAATGGACATAATAAAAATTGGTCCTTCTTTAAACCGTTCTCGGAGCTGCATATGTCCACAACAGTTCTTCCCCGAAAGTCACTGTAGAGCATGAAAGACAAGGACTACCCACCTCAGTAGCGAATGTAATGAATCTAAAATATCAACTCATTATGAAGTGTTTAAAGCGCTCTACTTAGAAGAAAAAATATTTATAACAATTTTATTTATATATATTGCGTCGGAAAAATCTTTAAATTGAAAGCGTTTGAAATAAATTTGAATATGAAAGCTGGATATGCGCTAAATAATTGATGAAGTTTTGTATAGGTTATCTTTTTTTGGACAAAGAATCGAACCTCAGATACATTTATCTAGAATTACTTAAAATTTCCCTTTGAT